TGTCAAACTTGACGAGATACAAGTATTTGAAACCATAAACAATATATCAATTAACGTCTACACACTAGACAGTAAGAATAAACAAATAATTCCCCTTAAAGTGACACCCCAAAGAAAACATGATCATCGAGATATACTATTGTACAGTAACCATTACATGTGGATAAGAAATTTTGAAGCATTCATAGGTAAACAATTAGTGAAAACATCATCTAGACTGTACATTTGTAGACAGTGTTTCAAACATTTCTACAAGAAACTCCATCTTCTGAATCATGAAACCGTCTGTGCAACAACTCCCTCAGATCCAATTGTCACACTACCAAAAACTGGTACTAAACTGTTCTTTAAAAATTACCACAAACAGTTGAAGATACCCTTTGTCATTTACTGTGACATAAAAAGTAAGTTAGTCAAAGAGGATACCTGTGAACCAAATCCAAATACTTCGTTCACTCATCGTATAGGTACATACTCAATAGAAAGTCTCACATACAATATCATAGATGAATCAAGTAAAATAATACGTACACTTACCTTTCCAGACATATCCACATTCATGATATCATTAGAAAGTGAATGTGAATCAATAGGAAGGATATATAAAAGAAATATCCCTCCTAACTGTTATCCTTCCAAACCACAAATCAATGACACCTGTCACATATGTGGTCATATTCTTGATAACGACTACGTCCTTGACCATAATCACGTAAATGGACAAGTAAGAGGTTACACCCATTCAACATGTAACTTTAACTATCGTCTACCACATTTTGTTCCTATAATAATTAAGGATTTCGGAATAGAACTGTTAAACTACTTCACCAGTGTCAATGCAAACATAAAATTCATCCCATTCAAGGGACAGATAGAGAAGTTCTTGTGCATATCAAAAAGAATCAAGAACACGACAATGAAGTTTTTAGATTTCTTCCAATTCATCCCCGATGATATACCATTCCATAAACTAGAATCTATACGATCAATCTGTATAGAGAACTATAACCTCGACATATTCCACTACCTGACAATAGGTTCTTACTGTTTCGACGTCATGCTCAAAGTCACTAAAGTCCAAATAGAACTTTTAAACGACATAGACATGTACAACATGATAATGAAAGGAATAAGAGGTGGATATACATCTGCAATTAAAAGCTATGCAAAATCAAATCACCACACTCTTCCAAACTATAATGCCTCAGAACCAGATTCATTTATATACTTTTACGATATAATAGGTCTATACGCCACTATAATGTCAACAGAACCACTTCCACTTGACAATTTCAAATGGATTTCACCATCAACATTTGACCTATACAACATCAATAATAATAATGGTACAGGTTACATTCTAGAAGTAGATTTAAAATACCCTTTCAATACCAATCACATAGACTATCCACTATGCCCTTACCACGATGAAAGTACAGGAGGTAGGACATTAATATCTTCTTTTAAAGATAGAAAGCATTACGTGATCCATTACAAGACCTTAGAACAAGCTCTGTCAATGGGCATGATACTAGAGAAAGTCCATAGAGTCATTTCATTTAACCAATCATGTTGGTTAAAACCCTACATAGACATAAACACCCAATTACGAACAACCTACTCACACGACAAAACCCTCTCAAATTTCTTTAAACTGCAATCGAACTTAATCTATGGCAAGTCAATAGAAAAAGTAACTGAAAACCTAAACAAATACTTCCTGTACAACAACACTAAGAAACTCATGTACTTAATAAAACAACCCACGTTCATAGACAGACTAATTCTAAATGAAAACAACTATATAATATTCATGAAAAAGAAAAGGGTCCAGTGCAAGAAACCCATACCTGTAGGATTTTCAATACTAGATCTAAGTAAGAGATACATGTACCACATGTATTACAATAACTTGAAAAAGTACTTCCCACCGTTCAATTTAATATACACAGACAACGATTCATTTGCAATACAAGTATTCACTAGTGATACTACTTCATTTACAAAAGATCAACATTTCATTTCTAATACTCTCTTAGGTAAATTCAAAGATACATCTCCTAATAATCCCATTCTAGAATTCGTTACAGTAAGAAGTAAAACATACGGGTACAGGACATTGAAAGATACCATACCACGACTAAAGAATTTACCCAAATCTTTTAATTTTACAAACTATAAAAACATACTACTGTCCATTAAAATGTACAACACCTATAACAGAGTAATTGATAATAAACTATACCAAATAATACAGAATAAAGCAGTAATAAAAATAAACACACACACACACACACACCCAAATACACACACCCAAATACACACACACACACACACACACACATAACACAATGACATCATCATGAACACCCTCCATCATCACCCTCTCTCTCTCACTCTCTGTCTCTCACTCACTATCACTCCTCTATCTCCCCTCTCTCTCACTCTCTCTCACTCTCTCAATACCCCTCTTCCTCCCCCATTTTCTCTCTCACTCTCACTATCTCTCTCACTCCCATATCACATTCTCTCTCTCTCTTTTCAATACCCCTCTACCTCCCCCATTTTCTATTTCACTCTCTCTCTCACTCACTCACAACCCCAAACATTCTCTATCCCTTTCTCTTTCATTACCCTCTTCATCATCCATTTTCTCTTTCATTCTCTCTTTCTCTTTCATTCTCTCATTCTATTACAATAACAAAACCCACCACTCAACTTTCAATCACATGTACCCCTTCAATCACACATACATGAAAAATTTTCAATTTCATTTCAATTCTCCACAAAACCATCTCCTTCCATAACTACTATAAATTTTAAGTGCTTGCAATTTTTAAACTTAAATAGTTAAGCTACAATAAATTGTAATACACAATAGGAACAAACTAGTAATAATGCGGAAAGTCAATTAACCTAAATACCAAGAGCTTGCCAGAACACTACCAACTATTGAGAGGTTGTATTAAGAGAAACCGATCGAGAGCTTACCTTAGAAATTGACCTAGCCTTACAGTTAATTGGTCAAGACACTTCTAGAATCGTAATATTCTAGCAATTTGATTCTTTTATTTGCAGTTCGGACATAAATGAATTTTTTTAAGGTTTATGTCTAGATAGAGAAATACTAGTGATTATTTATTCTAACTCATTTAAATAGTTAACAAGACATGTATGACTTTTAAACAGAAACAAGTAAGACACCTCACTTATCAAGTAATGTTAAAAACTGAAAAATCTCTGGTTTCACCTGCTTAGTAATAATTATCGGAAGTAAAATGTCAATATTAGTATTTAAGATAGATGCTATGACAAACAATGTTAGGGGTGCAGGGTAATGTTTTAAAAATGTGTAAAAAATATATGGTCTTTCTTTTTCCATTTATCTTCTTTTTTATTTTTATTTCTTTTTCCAATCCATATATTTAATTTGGTATACTAAAAAATCGTGTGTTATGTAAATCGCATTGGTTTTTTTTCATTAAACAGTTGTATTATCCCTTTGGCAATTGTTATAAAATAATGGAGAAAAAAATCATATGTTTTGTATATATCCACCCTTAGTAAAACACTTCTATTTATTACATTTGTGTGTACATGTGCAATCAGTTTTCGATACAACGTTACGTTTTAATGAATAGAGTTAGGGCTCTAATTAACGTTAACATACTTTCTTAAACACTAAGGGTTTTGAAAATATAAAACATAAAATGATCAGGTGTGGTGAAAAGTTAAAAATGTTTTGAAGTCAATAATCGTTCATAACACTGTTTTTTCTTCTTTTTGTACCATAAAACCGGTGAGGTTACATCAATGGAGTGGAAATAATGTTCTAGGAATCATGCTTCACTGGTTTTAACAATAACAACACGTTTCAGAGGGGTCAGGGCCACACTTTACATTGGTAAGTAAATTATTTTTGACGTCCCTTATAAAACAAAAAAGAATTTTATTATTACTCGTATTACGAGATTTTTCTTTTGACAAGGAAATCATGTTACCTGGTTTATCGAGAACCCTCCATGATTAATTTAATTTAAAAATGGATTACAGGAAACTTGAACACTTCTAGACTTCAGCTTTGCTCGTCAACAGATGCCATTGGTGAAGAATTCATCTTGCTTGAGTGCTAAAATGCGAAGTTTCGTTGAATTTAATGTTTAACCAACTTATATGTCATCGTAAAAGCACAAGACGTCGTAATTTAATTGGACGAAGGCTTGATGTACCCAGGAGAAATAAGCGCAGCATTTCTTCTCAATTTCTGCCACAATATTTTTCTTCGTTTGTTTTGAAAAACAATAGGCTCTCCAAGCAAGACATTAAATTAAATTGGAACGTGACTAATGGGATTTTTCCAACAACACGTATGTATTTTTCAAAATCAAATTTAAATATCCTACAAAATATAAAGTATAAAAAAATTGATATTTACGTTAAATAAATTCATAATTTGTCTGTGAAAATCTCTTACTCTATTCTATACACATTAATTTTTTTTCTACGTTATTAAATTGGTTTTATTATTTCTCACTAAGAACAGAGTAAAGGTACTTCAACCTTTTGGCCATTAGTGTACATTTTAATGGGGTATATTTATGCAAACCAATAGTAGATGTGGACATACTTATTAGTTATAATAAAACTATAAATAACCAACTAGCTGTAAAGTAAATTATAAAAAAAAAATATTTAGGTTCCGCCCCAACCATTAACAGGTAAAGTACCCTAAAAATCCTAGTACTACAATATAAATTAATGATTTCACTGCAATTGCCTTTTATAATTAAACATCAATGATCATTTTATATGTATGATTGAAAATAATCTATATCTAGAGAAGTTTAGTTTATATCGTACATCATAATAATAAGTCAATTTAATAAATTGTATTTAATAATTAATTATACTACAGTTAAATTAAAGACAATTCCTGATAAAACCAAATTTTAAAAGTGAATCAATTCTTATCAGTATGATATAAGCTCATATTCATATCTGGTTTCAGACCTCAGCTACTATAACAAACCCTATCGCATTCCGAGATAATGGTGGCATTATGTTTCCTATTAGATGTTGTGAATTCATGATGTAGGAAAACAAGTTAAAACAGTTTACCATCCAACAACGAGTGTATATTTATTTTAGTGTCAGGTATGTTTTTACTCTTTTATTGGTTTATTTTGATAGATTAAGGGGTCAAAATTAATTCTGAGTAAAAATATACTACCGAGTTTAAATGTAATTTTAATTCATTATATTTTTCATTGGTTAGTTATTGCAAACAACTTTTTGACTACCAGAAAATATTTGATTATATCAGATGCTGTATCACAACTACTTATAATTTATTAAACTTTATTATTTACTTTATACAGGTCTGGTAAATTAATTTAAATCAGAAAAATCATTTATTCCAAAACATAATGTTCTGACACCTAGGCTGTTGCCATGCAATTAAACTGTCAACGGCACACTTTATATTTTAAAACCGTTTTACAGAAGAATAAAGGCATGTAAGCGAACAAGTAACATGTGCGTAGTTACGCATTTAATACTGTGCATAATGTTTAGTTTTTTAACATGTTTTACTAGTTTAATACACTTATTAACTTTTTTTAAATATTTATTATAGGAAATAACATACCAATTTTGGTACCGTAAGAATTGTTTAGGACCAAGGTGGGATAACTAACATAAAATGTGACTCTATGCTTTGTGACTTTTTTATCCTAAGACGATAGGCATGAGTTGGGATTGTTATTTTCAAGTTACTTCAGGCTAGACCTAGTGGTTGCGGTATTATTGGGATATCGGGTAGCGGAGTCCCGCGCTCTAACCACTAGACCAGCTTGTTCCCTATACGTTTGGACCCTTAAATAATAAATAAGAACTGCAATACATTTATTCTTAACTTTGAAGCAGTCTTTAGCTACAATAAACCATCATGATTGTACCCTCTAGTAAGCGTGGTTGTCTCAAAGTAGGTTATCTAGAACGGTACTACATGATTTTCGTTAAAAATTTAATTAGCATCTGCAAGTATTATATCAGAGTTACGTCTTCCCCTGTGCCTTAAAGTACAACATACGCAGTACATTAGGAGATAACTTGGGTCGTCCACAATTAGTCTAATTGTTAATTAGCCAAATTTGTACAACTTAGTTTCATTGTTTGACGAAATTATTCATATCGTCTAGGCACCTATTGCAATTCTTCCAAAATCAACTAAATAAGATGGACAAATAGCCTGTTAATGAATATAACCCTTTGTGGATGTTTGAAACCTCTACATAATGTCAACAGAATGTACGTGTAGTAAAAATAAAATTTTGCTCTTTTCCACTTCTTTAAATTACGTTCTACAAAATGTTGGAATTTCAACCGGTTCCAGGAAAGGTAGTTTAAACAAAATCAAAACTAATCCCCCATTCATTAACAGATGATTTCCTCTTGCAGAACATGAGTGAGGAGTCGTTGGATCCGTTGACGGTGGTCTCAAGGGACACGTGGGGTGCTTTGCCGCCAAAAGCAGCAGCCCCGCCATTAGATACCCCTCTACCACAGGTCATTGTGCACTGGGCTACGGGCACTGACCCATGTGAAACTACCGAGGCCTGTACAAAGATAATGCAGGATATACAGAAGAATCACATGGAGGAAAAAGGCCTGGATGACATAGCATATAAGTAAGCTTTTCTTTTATAATACAAAGTATTTTAGTAGATGTTTGTTTTAACGGTTTGTTGTACAAATTTGCTTACGGTGACGTACTATACTCGTTTCAAACTGTTTCCGTTTAAACTAGCTTTTAAGATTACAAATCTTATTAATATAAGCATAGAAAACCAAGTTTTGTGTTTTTTACAGATTGACAAAAAGTATTATATTGAACCATATAGGCAGTAGCATTTTAGCCACATAAAATCAACCAAGAACACATATTGGGTAAACACATTGCGTTTGTTGAGGAAAATCTTAAATCTCGGGATCTTCTAGAATAGATAAAGTTAAAATAATCTGCTACATATTAGTAAAAATAAATGATATTTTCTGGAGTTTTTAAAATGTTAACCCAAGTTTTTTGAGATTGTGTTTCCGAAATAAGTCTACTTTACTCTGTATTTTCTTTCTATATTAATTTATAAAAATAAATTGATTTGTAAGTATTAATGTTGTGTTTAGGAGAAATGTTTAGTCATTGATTGGGGGAAAAATAAAACCTACAAATACATGTATCACTGACTGAGCTAAATATATCATGCATTTCCAATTAATTAAATGTGTGACTAAATACGTATAGGTGATTATTGTTATATTCTGTTTTAACACATCAATAAGGAAGCTATTCAGGTGGCATGTATACTGTTTATTTTTGCATCATAAAGTCCAGGACAGACATAATACAAATCTGAAGTTTTATAATGTGAGTTACGAATACGATTAATTTTAAATCAAACTAAACTATTTAGTACGGTACAGTTTTTATGATATTTAAAGTAAAATAATAACGCATTACATGATTATATTATTGTTATACTCAGTTTCGTCATTGGCGGAGACGGCAAGGCATACACTGGGAGAGGTTGGGAGGGAGCTCCCTCGCCCCTTATATATCCACACCACGTACCTACGAGGAGAATAGACATTGCTTATATTGGACGGGAATGGGGTCGTAAGTGTTATGTTTTCCTCCATTCACGGGACTTTTATTACCTGCCCTCCTTCTCACGTTTGTAAACAACGTTTAAGGTTTACCACTAACCAGTGTTGCTTTTGAAAACTTAATTATAGAAAACTAGTACTAACACATCGCTTGTAAGAAATTAAATATATTTTACGGTTACACCATGTGAGTTAAAAGTACATTCAACACCTTAAAATTACGAAAATTTGTTTGAAGGCTTATTTTTATAAGGACAATGCATACGTCTACAAGTCTTTAGTTTGAATTTCAGTTATAATCGATATAACCCAAGCCATTTTTCATACACATTAAAAATTAATGATGTGCTGAAAATGGACTTATTATGGCGTACCAATAATTTGTCCTGTTAGAAAACAGTACTTTAAGAAACAATTCGTTTCTAATATTTCTTAACAATGTTGTGGAATTACATTGAAGTACGTCATGGTTTCCACGTCTTTTATTCTGATTTGATACTGAACTATTATCATGGAACACCTTACTTCAGACTATACCCAGAGTGCCATGAATCATAACATTGTTACAACAAGGCTACTGCGGATTGGCCCGATTTGAACCCGAGACAACGAAAATTTATAGTTCGCTAATCTTAGACTAGGTCTCACCCCAATTAAGTTGGCTATCTAAATCTTGAAACGTTATCTTGTCCGTTATGGACAGCAGAGTGTATATGTGTGTGGTAGTATGTATGTGTGTGTTTGTGAGTATGTATGCGAATGGGAAGCAGATAGGTTATCTTTTGAGGGGAGGGTGCTTGGGCGGTGATGGGGGGAAGGGTTAACTATTTGTCTAAAATATCACCACAGTTACTTACCATTAGGTCGTATTGCGTATCAAAATCGTTCCGAAATCTTTTTTTCATCACTTATTTTTTTTGAAAATATTATATTATTAAATAATATATTAATACAACGAATCTCTTCCACACACAGGGTTTTGCTTCTTTGCGAAAGAAACTTCGCTAATTTAAAAAGTTTGTTTTTATATTTTTATGTTTATATTAAATTTTTATGTTATTAAAAAAACAATATTGTAAATATTTTTGTACATGACTAATATGATGTCATTTGTAATTAATTTTGCGGAATAAATGGTATTTTAATTTTGATTTGATTAATAAAAGCTAATATATACATGACTTTATTCCAAATAAAATCAAGTTTAGAAAAAAATAATAACAACTTCGATGTTATTATACTAAAGTAACTGCGTTTGTCACTCTAAATATAAAAATGTTTCTACTGGATTAAATTTAAACTCTAAAAGCATTATTACATTCATAGATTTGATTTTTTAAAACCTCTTTTTCAGGAGGAACAATACCATGGGAAATGCTACAAGCGGCGTTGCAATTGCTGAGTACTGGAGTCGAAACCAAACTTTTAGACGAAGAGTATGACACTGCTGAACACCCCGTGGAAATAGGGAATGACGAAGTCAGTGGCGAAGAAGCGTAAAAGATTGATTAAAAGGAATAAGCAAATTATGACTAAGCAAGTTTGTCCACTTCCAATATGGAACGTATTAAGACGAATTGAACATTTTTTACTGGAAATACTATCGAATAACATAAAGCAACTATGTAATCTTCAGCTTAACTTAAGCAAGTAATCTTATACGTCGTAGGGATTCATACGTATTATAACTCTCATCTTAAAAATGGAATACATTACAGAACAATTTTCCTCTAGACTTGATAATTCGACTTATAAAACTGGAATAACTACTATTAATTTCATTAATAAGCTAAAAAGTATGTCGACATCTATATATATGTACAAAATTAACATTATTATGAAATAAATTCATATTAGTAAGTGTTTTAATTTTCATCTATTCTAACCAGAAATATAACCAGAAATGTATTTTTTACGTCCCTCCTCAATTACAAAAACAAAGTCTTAGTTATATTTGCAAAGACTTGGTATCGTTAAATTTTGATACAGCCTATGCAAGCAAAACTTGAAACTTGAAAATACTGCTATTTCCTATAGTGATTATAAACCGAGCCCCAGGAGTGTTGGGGGATTTAGTATAGCACGCCGGCCATTGTGGATAAATAATGGATACCCAATACTTTTATACCTCGTGTTCCTAATGCCTTGCTTTATATGGAATAGCTTAAAATTACTTGTTGTGTTTATCTAAAATAATGACCATTAACTGATTCATTATGGCACAGTTAGTCGTAACAGGTTATTAATAGTATTAGTTTTAAAAATGTCGATTGCATGATTTTTCACTGTAATATTAATCCAAGTACGCAGTATATTTTCGTTGTAGGATAGTCCGTTTCAACTAATACATATGTATTAAAATACTATTTTGAAAGAAAAAAGCTTGATCAACTAGCCTTATGTCCACGGTGCAAAATAAAAAGTTGATGATACTGTACTTGTTATAGGTATTGTTTCATATTTGGGTTATAAAGTATGGCCAATAAAACTTTAATCGATTTTACAATATATTTCTATTAATTGTCTTAAATTTTTAAAATCAAAACTAAATAAATATTTAATAAAAGTAAAATACATAGAAAGGAAAGCGAAAGCGAGCACAATGGAACTTCTAAAACAAAAAGTATTGTAATAAGAAAATAAAGTATTCATGAACTCTGTTTTACACAAGTTCCTTGTTGTATGTACGTGGTTTACAAACTAAACCTTTAGGGATTTATTACCCATTCGGAGTTTCTAAGTCACGTTACACTATAAACTACATTGCTACTACACTTCCTTCGCTTCTCCGTCACTTTAACATGCCTTAAAATTAGTCAAAAAACAGTTTGTTCTATAATTTAAAATTTTATATCACAAACACAAGTGTTTAGTTATATCTAAAGTAAAGTTACTTAAATCTAAATAGGAAAATTTTTAAATAATTAAATTTGTTTAAGGACAGTTGATCCCTAAGAAATGTAACAAGCTTAATATTAATTGGTTAAGGATTGACCTTGACATTGGACCCCTAAACCCCACATTTAAATTCAATCTATAAATCCTAATTGATTCCCTAATATGCCAATGCTAATAAACATTTATTTAGTACTAATATTCTTATACATAAATTTGTTATTGCTTGGCTAGGACCTTATCGATTGATCGAATATATTTAACTTTTGTAAAGATGCTTATATGTTTGGATAAAAATCATTCATAAGAAAATTTTTTTTCGAATTCACTGCTCACCAACTTTTTTATTGTAATGCTTACCTTAGCATCTACCAAAATTTTCCTAGTATAAAAGCCTATACCTCTAGATACTTACATTTTGTTTTTGAACAAAATGACATTATTAGGCTAATTGTTGCTAATAATGTCAAATGTATTTTATTTATTGACCTTAATCATAAACAACAGAATTTATATTTACTAAACATTACATAAGCACCATATTCTATATACCAAGTATAGGTGTTGGCAACCAGCTTGTCGAGGGACAATCTTAATTGAGTCTTTGTGGTTGAAGTAACTTCATCATTGTAGCTTTCGTGAAGGAAATATGTAACAAAGGAGAGCTTGAGAGTATAATTAATTTTATATTTGAGATTCAAAAACATGTTATTTACCTTTGTCATTAAAACTGTTATATCAGAGCAATCCAGCTACAGTTTTAAAGATATTAAAAATGAAGTATTTGTTGAAGTTGTAAAGATTTAGGATTTGTCATGGTCAACTTATTAGAACCGTATGACATAATTAAAATGTTGTAACTGATTTTTGCTCCATTACCTCATTTTCTACCAAAGCACCCAAGTAAAACTTATGAAAAAACTCTCTAAATTAAAAACATGTCATTTGTTCTAAAATCCAAATAGATTTTGTTTAGAAAATGTCAACTTTTTGTTTTTGTATTTATTACCAAGAATGAAATCAATCTGATTATTTCTCTTGTTACAAGCTAATCATAAAACGCATATTTGGTTTTTAATGAAAGTTTATGATCTATTTTAAAGCCGAATTATATTACAAGGGATTAACAAAACTGAACTCAATGAACAGTAAATGATTTCAGAACGATTTTTTACGACCTTAAAAGATCAATAATGTTCTTTTCTTCCTGGTATCCACGATGCTCATTTCATAAAAAATATCAATAATTATTTAAAAGTGAGTAATTAAAAAATTATAAATCCTACAAGTTTTTGTAGTATTTATTAGAGCAAGCCAACCAATAGCGTAAATAATGTGAAACTAAAGCTCTCGTAGTTCGTGTTAGCTTTACAGAGAACCTAATTAAGTGGAATTGTGTTGTAGTGGAGTTTTCATTACAAGTTAAAGTAAATTCTTTTCAAACTACATCTTCACATAATGTGCAATAATCTATAGTTTATATATTTAATACAATAAGTGTTTTGAATTATCCATCTTATTGAGGAATTGTAACTTTCTTAGGAAAAGGTAATTTTCTTTATAACTTCGCATCCTTTCGTTTAGGTCACTTTTAGGACCTACATTAAAAAATCCAGCGATGCTGTTCAACTTCTTTTTTTTAAATTTGCAAATGTAAAATGTAATTTAGCAGCTGGTCCTTAGGTTTAAATATGAGTTACAGTAAGATAAAAAAATTACAGATTATAAAACTGGTTTATAATGAGGCAACTTTTAAACTGTAACTGATTTTTTTGTAAATTGATTATTCAATTATGCAAATTTGTCTCTTTAAAACATAACCTTTGAAAAAAGGTTACTATATTACTAGTTTTTCCTTGGAAAAAAGTATTAAGATGTAAAATTTACGTTAATATTTATCTCCTAGTATAAGAAAACGTAGCGTTTCAAGTACAGTATTACTCTCGAAAACACTTAAAAGTTATGAGTATTTTGGTTATTAGAACACAATAGAATGAAAACAAATTATAAATGTCTCATAATAAACATCTTCTTCTTAATGCATGTCAAACTATTTTTTTTACTATCGCCTTTTTTTAGCTCTTCATAAATATATTTTAAAATTTGCTGTAGTACTATTACTGTTTTATTTCTTTAGGGTTTTTATTAGGTGCATATAAATAAATATAAATTGGGATCGATACTACAAAGAGCCAATAGCAATATTAAATCAATTATCAAAATGCTATTGGGGCATTGCAGCAAGGACTTGTGTATTTTCCATTAGCAACCCAATCCTGGGAAGAGAACTGATTGTGCTAGGCTAATCATTGCGCTTTTAGTAATATTCATTTTGTAATTAATTGACTCTCTTAAAGCAAAATGAAGAAATATAAGTTTACTTTTATTTTTCTGCTTCTGAAAGGTATAAATATAATAATATAATATAAAGTAAAATTGCCAACAGTTTGTTGTATTGAAATGCAAACCACTTATCATTTTAGTGCTTTAGTAGACCTCTGCTATTGATATTTTTTTATGGCTAATGATGAGTTCTATGATTATCGAGATGTAAATATATTTATGTTAAAATATAAGAATTTAAATTGTACATTTTATTTAAAGTAATCTAACAATGAGGATAACTTTAGCATAACTACAATCAAAAGTTTAAATGAATGTTAATGAAATTGAATAAACATCTAAATGAAAGTATAAATTATTATCCTATTATGATTTTACAACAAAATATATAATACATTTTGTTATAATATAATGTTATAATTTTGATGGTTCACATATTTTCCATGAAGAAACGGTTTACCTTGAAATCTTAATTAAGTTGATAAATGTACAATGCCTGTATCACTGGTCTGGCTCCTTGTGGCAACAATAACCTGAGTATAAAGCATTAAAAGAATTAATTTATATTAAATAATTAACCAAATATCGTATATGAAAGGTTTTCCAGCTAAAGGTGAAGCTAAGCTAAATTACAAGTTAAAGTCAGTTTGTTAATGGAAAAAGTTTGGTGATATGGTGGATCATTCAGTAGCACGATTGTCTTTGGTATCAATGCAGCAATGTTGTGATTTCGGTTCTCGGTACTTACCACTTTATTCTATCAGTTAGATTCACCTATGTACTGGAGCATCTCACCCCTTGTTTTGATGGATACGTTCTACGCAAAAGCCCGAGGTCTAAGTGGTAGGAAATTCATATTTAAGCTAAGTGTTGCTTATGAAAACATGATATAGTCTGAAGATTGATAGAGTTAATGCAAATTTCAAATGACATTACTTTTCCTTTATGAAATGTGTGGTCAACTTTAAACTTGTATTTCCATTTATTCGGAACTCGGGTCTGCTAGTGGAACCTATCAAACAAAACATGGAGAAGTAAGATCAAACCACCATCGTTCAAATGCCTCTAATTCCGGGAACGTGTATTTGCACTACTTAGCCAAAGGCCTTTAAGAAGCTTATGTGATAAATGAGCTGAAATACTATCCGAAAGTTTATAAATTGATTAAACTTATTTTATAACAGTATTTTCATCCACATATCAATCAATGCCAATATAAATATGCTCAATATCGTCAGGGCATAGATTTATTTTCCTCAACATAGTAATTTAAAACATAATTAATCACCTTGATCTTCTTGTATTATAAATAAATGTAAACAAAATAAAAATAAAACATTTAAAAAATATATTTAAGTATGAGCTATTTTCAACCAATCTAATCCTTATAAATGATCTTCTAGTATTGTTAGCCGAGAATAGTCGCGTGAGTGAAAAACTTGGAGAGCAAAACAAATACAGTAATTTCCCTTAGGATGTTGTACCTACTTCAACTCATCAAACTAAAACGGGGTTAGCATTACCTTTTTGTCGCACATCATTGTTCTTTCCTAACTTTTATCTGTACAAAGGTTTATTAGGATAGGA